TGAGGGACCTCTCCAAAGTACTGAAGAGCAATGGTGTCTCTCTGAAGACTGAGGTGTATCTGATCCAGGCCATGGTCTTTGCAATCAATTGTTATGCATCAGAGAGTTGGACAATGACTAGGGAAGATAGAAGCAGAATTGATGCCTTTGAGCTGTGGTGTTTGAGAAGAGTGTTGAATGTACCATGTACTGCTAAGAAAACAAACAGGTTCATCCAGAAGAGGGTTAAACCGAGCTGCTCCTTGGAGGCAAGGATTCTGGGACTTCATCTGACATACTTTGGACACGTTGCAAGGAGCTACCAGTCCTTGGAGAGACACATCATGCTTGGTAGGGTGGAGGAACAGCACAGGTGGGGAAGACCCTCTATGAGGTGGATTGATTCAGTGACTGGGGTAATCGGGGGTGGGGGGTGAGGGGGTGTCAGAGACAGAGATTGGCACAGGACAGACCAGAGTTTAGGGATGTTACACATAGGGTCACTATGAGTTGCAAGCAATTCAACGGCACATAGCAACAACATCATCATAAATTATTCAAGATGATGCTGAAAAAATGCTATAAAAATAAAATAGCAATAATCACATGAAAAAGTCTCAATGGTTTCTGAAATAAGTAAGATAAAATAATTGACAACTTCCATCTTTTCTCCATCTTTCATGATGCATCTTATTGGTCCAGTGGTACGAATTTTTGTTATCTTAATATTAAGACGCAATCCATCTTGAAGGCTATATTCTTTGAACTTCTGCAACAAGTGGTTCAAGTCCTCCTGACTTTCAGCAAGCAAGGTTGTGTCATCTGCATAATGCAGTTTATTTGTGAGTCTCCCTCTGATTCTGATGTCACATTCCTCTTCCCTGAGTTCAGCTTCTCAAATAATTTATTCAGAACAGAAAGTGAATAAATATGGAGGGAGAATATAATCTTGATGCACTCTCTTCTTAATTTTAAACCATGTATTATTCCTTTAAACAGATCTGGTGGCCAAGTGGCAAGGAGTTGACCTGCAATCCTGAAAGTGTGCAGTTCAAATCCACCAGCTACTCCATAGGAAAAGGATGAGCAATCTCTTCCTGTGAAATTAGCTGTTTCTAAAAACCCAGCAGAAGGTCAGCTAAGAGTGGATTCCAACTGAACAGTAAACAACAACACAACAAAAGTGTTTCCTTGCTCTACTCACACAATAGTCTCCTGGTCTGGGAATAAATTTCACAGGACCAAAGTCAAGTGCTCTGGGATTCCCATTCTTCTCAATGTTAGCCAAAACTTGTTTAGGATCTACACAGTTAAATGACTTTGAATAGTGAATAATGCATAAATAAACATCCTTCTGGTATTATTTACTTTCAAACAGCATCCATTTGACATCAGCAATGATATCCCTGGTGCCATTGCCTCTTCTAAATCTTGCTTGAACATAATTTTTAATTTGCAATACTGCCTCTGTTGTTATGTGTCTTTGAGTCGTTTGTGACTTATAGTGACCCTCTGCACAACAGCTTAGAATCCTGTCGTATCCTAAGCCAATCTCACTCTCTCTGACAAACCTATTCCCATTATCCCAGTCACTGTGTCAATCTATTTCATCCTGGGTCTACCTCTCTTTCTCTGTCCTTCCTTACTTTCAAGTATTACGTCCTTCTCCAAGGACTGTTCTCTCACGGTAACATGCACAAATTATGTCAAATGGAGCTTCAAAGTCCTTGCCTTTAAGAAGCAGTTTGGTTTCACCTTCTCCAGGACAGTTAGTTCTGTTTGTTCTCTTGGCAGTCCATGAACGCTCTATACTCTTCTCCAGCACAACTCAATGGCATTCATTCTTCTGCCATCCTTAGTCATTGTTCAGCTCTCTGATGTGTAGCAAGTAATTGTGAAGACAATGGCCTGGATTAGGCACACCCTTGTCTCCAGACAGGTAGTCCACACATTTCTCTCATTAACATACTAAACAAAAGCAAAACCTTTAGGAGCAGAGCAGCCCACGATTTTGTCAAGCTTTAAGAAAATTGCCCCTTACATCATCACATTCCCTCACCACAAGAATGTTCAGGTTTTCAATAAATACACGGGAATTCATGAAGCAGGGAACTGTCTTTTTGGTGACATTGCTGGCCATGTTGATAAAGTTCTTCACAGGACTAAACAAAATGCAACTGAAGATAAAAAAAAATCTCACAGGAGAGGCAAGGGAGATTTGACTGTGAACTTCCTACTACGTGAAGAAGAAGCTGACTATTGCAACTCAGCTCAGTAACCATTGTTTGTTTTTTGGTTTTTTTTTTTATTTTAGGTTTTTTTAGTAACCATTGTTTTTAAATGCTGCTTTATTGTGTGAATGTGACACAGTGTTTCTATTTGTTTGTTGATGGGTACTTGGGCTACTTCAATCTTTTTGTGAATAAACTCCTAATTTAAAAACAAAACAAACAAAACAAAAAACAACAAACTAAATTTTGCCAAATGGATGTTCTTGGAATTTTTTAATTCTTTCAGTATGAAAGGCTTCATTCACACAATGGAATACTATGCAGCACGCAAGAGCAGTAACTTTGTAAATTATTACCTAACTTGGGAGGGACTGGAGAGCATTATGCTAAGTGAACTAACTCAATCCCACAAGGACTATATAAAATATTGTATAAAATCATTATTATAGAATGAGTATAAGGATTCTGGAGGGGTGAGAGAGGTGGGAAGTAGAGGGATGTGGATGTGGATGGGGAAGGGGGGATTAATCATTGGATTGTACAGTTTGATGGGTGGGGCGGTGAGGGAAATTGAAAGCATTTGTTCAAATTTGTATTCGAATGTTGTAAATAAACTAGTAGGTAAAAAAAAGACATATTTTGTAACCTTTTCCTCTTTAATGAGAAGTAGAATAATATGTGAATATCATTTCTCAGTAAATATTAATTCAATGATGGTAAACATTGAATTTAAATCCAATTCCTAACAGTAATTTTCTCCAACTAATTCTGCTTGTTAAATAGAAAGTAGTTATGCCACATGGAAGGGGGGGAAAAAGTCTGCAAATACTGTGCAAATATTTTACCATTTTTTCTGTCTTTCACATTCATGTAAGAACAATGTGTAACAATACTATCATAATATACCTAATCATGAATTATATATTGAAGTCAGTTATTTTTTATTTATTGTTTCTCTGATGTTTTACTGAATGCAAAAGTCTGGACTCACCTGTTGCTTTTTATAGTGTTTACTTTAATTATACACTTTAGGGAAATAGATTATCCGTCGGAGAATGTGAAATCCCTTAAGAAATAGAGTATTTTCAAGGTTTTGTTAGTTACTAGGTAATGTTTACTCAGTGATAGAACTCATTATGGGTTATTGTAAAAAGTATATATAACTCTACCTTCTATACAAATTGGTCCTTTTGGAGGGAATAACTAGATATATGATCATATTCATTATTCTGTAATCTTTTTTTGCTAGTTGTGTTGATATGACTGTAATTCTTTGAGTGATACCTTCTATTAAAATATATATATTTTTTTACTGCTAGGCTAATATAAAATTGACATTATATTTTGAGTAAAAGATGTAAAATAGACATGACATTTCTAAAGCAGATATTTTAAAACATTTCATTAGGTAAGTTAAATCTATTTGTTCATCTTCCCCATTTATTTAAGTATCTTCATATTTAACAGATTAGCAACAAAGTTCCTGGGGTAAATCAGATGAGGATTAAGATTTGTGTGGTCATTTAGTCCAGCTTCACACCTTCAAAGTGATTTTGTATCATTACTTCAAATGGGCAACCACTGAAAAAAGGAATATAATTTATTAAAATCCATTTAGAAATCCTAATTCCTTAATTATGTTTAAGGGAAACTAGTCTTTTCTTGGGAGTATAATTTCATTAATACTCTAAAAAAATGAAGCACAGCGTTATAATAGAGCTCTACCCAAGAGTTTTCATTTTTTAATGATTGAAAACTGCTGTCTTCCATGAAATCGGTCTGTTAGTACAGTAGCTAAGGGCTTAGTTGCAAACCAGAAGGCTGGTTCATGTTCACACCTGCCAGGTGGCAAAAGATGTAGTAGTTTCTGAGTGTCAGAATTGGATGATTCTAGCATTTTCTGTTTTGTATCCCAGTCAAGAGTTGAAAATACAATAACATTTCAATTGTTGTCAGTACTCTTCATGTCTGTATCATACTTCCAGTAAGTTGCCACTGCAGTGACAGAATACAATTTTCAAATATCAAGATGCTTACCATGTGTTTAGTGGGATAGAATTAAAGCTGCCAGTGTAAAAAATGTTGAGAGTATTTAGTTATCCTCTAAAACAGTGGAGGGGATTTTTTTTTTCTATCGTAAAATGTATTATTTTTCTAAGACAGAAGTATGCGAATACTTCCATTTGATTTTTTTGTTAATGAATACAAAGGGATTTTCTATAATCACTTACCAATAAGAAAGAAGGATTGCAATATCCAAAATATTTAGTGTGGATCTGGGAAAACAGACATAATGCTCTGTAAACTTCCCCTACATTTAAAAACAGTTATTGCCTGTCATACCTGGGTTAAATATTAATCTAGGTAGCATATTATTATCTGTAGTTCAAAGTTATATGATTCTTACGTTAAAAAGGATAATTTACATACATTTTCTAGTAAATAGACAGTTTAAGGTACAGTTTATAAATGCTTGAGAAAAATGGAGTTTCAAAAGACACCTGCTAGTTCAGGAAAGATGCATTTTCTTTCCCAGTAAACAGTTTAAGGTAATCTGCATGACTATAGAGAAATTGAAAAAGGGTCTGGAAACAAAACAAATATTATACAATTCAACCCATTTTTGCAGGCTGCAAACTCAGGATATCAGGGTTTTAGAGCTATACCATGTGTTTGCATAATCCTGAATTTATTAATACCACTTTATCATTGCCATATACCAGATTCACCTGTGTCCTTACTAACTCCTTTTGCCTTTTACCTTTAGATTTCAAGGAAGAGAATTCACAAATGGCTGAAGAGAATGTTACAATGGTGACAGAGTTTATTTTACTAGGACTCACCAGTCATACAGAATTGAAAAGAGTGCTTTTTGTGCTGTTCCTAGTGATTTACACCGTTACTTTAGTGGGGAATCTGGGCATGATCTTCTTAATCTACAGCACTGCCAAACTCCACACACCCATGTATTTTTTCCTCAGCTGCCTTTCATTTGTGGATGCCTGTTATTCCTCCGTTATTGCCCCTAAAATGCTGGTCAGTTTCTTGGTTGTGAGGGAAACCATCTCCTTCTCTGGCTGTATGGTGCAGCATTTATTTTTTGGAGTGTTTATTACCACGGAGGGGTTCTTACTTTCAGTCATGGCTTATGATCGTTACGTGGCCATCGTAAATCCTTTACTCTACACTGTAGCCATGTCTAAGACAAAGTGTGTGGTGCTGGTCTTTGGGTCTTGCATTGGTGGGATGATTAACTCATTAACACATACGATAAGTCTGGGGAGACTGTCCTTTTGCGGACCGAATGTTGTCAGCCATTTCTTTTGTGATGTTCCTCCATTGCTAAAACTATCATGTTCTGATACCTCCTTGAATGAGCTGTTGCTGTTAATCTTCTCTGGAGTCATTGCCATGGCCACTTTTTTGATCGTGATCGTTTCCTACATATTCATTGTTGTGGCTATCCTAAGAATCCGTTCGGCTGAAGGCAGGCGGAAAGCCTTCTCCACCTGTGCTTCTCACCTGACTGCTGTGACCATATTCTACGGTACCTTGAGCTTTAATTACATTCAGCCCAGCTCCCAGTACTCTGAAGAACAGGAGAAGGTAGTGTCTGTGTTCTATACACTAGTTATTCCGATGTTAAACCCCTTGATATATAGTCTGAGAAACAAAGAGGTGAAAGATGCTATGAGAAGAGCGCGAAATTACTACTCCTAAATTAATGAGTTCCAAATCATTATTAACAATTCAAGGAACCAAAATGGAGTGATGATTAAACATTGGACTGCTAACACAAAAGGTCTTTTGTTCAAATCCACTAATGTCTTCCTGGGAGGCGAGAACTGATGATGTGTTTTCATAAAGATCAAAGGATATGAAACCCTACAAGACAGTTATGCTTTAAAATAAGTTAGATGCAAACTTGAGAACACACAATATCAATTATCATATAAAAGTTTTATATTTTACAAGCCAGTTCTCCATTTACTAAGACTTGCATAAATTCACTGTATTCTAGAGGTTCAAATTACTCCACAAATAATTTTCTTATTAAGAGAGATTTCTCCCATCCCCCACATACACAAGAAAACAAGCCTGGATAATGGAAGGAACTTACCTGCACAGACATATGTTTAAAAATGAAAATTTTAAGATTAAGCTCTCCTAAAGAGTGGGCCACCAATGTCAGAATCTAGCAATCAGCCCATAGAACGAAATTTCTGATATTTTAAAAACTTGACAAACTCATATACAAATATTCATTGTTGTCTTTGTTGTTATTGTTAGATGTCGTCAAGTAGGCTCTCACCACAAACCCATGTGCAACAGATTAAACCTTGTTTAATTCTGTCTCAGCCTCACAATCTCATTTGTACTTAGCTTTATTTTTGCAGTCAGTGTTAGTCAATCTTATTGTAGCTGTTTCTAGTCTTTGCTGTCCTTTTACTTTTTAATTCATGGCTCTCTTCTCCAAGGATTGCCCCCCTCAGACAACATACTTTAAGTATGAGAGATGAAGGCTCAACATTCTTGCCTTTCAGGAGCACCTTGACTTGACTTCTTCCAAGACAGATTTGGTCTACCAAGACAGAATTTGATAGTCCGAAGGTACTAGATTCAAAAGTCTTCACCAACACCATGCTTTAAAGTCACAGATTCTTCTTTGGCCTTCATTATTCATTGTCCTACTTCCAGATGCATATAAAGCAATTGAAGTAGGAAAAGATAACAAAGAAAGACTCTTGGAAATGAGAATGTCAGGAAGATGTGGAAATAGTACAGTTGCATTGTGAATATTATAACTAATGTAAAACAAAATGTGTAAGAAAGGAAAATCAACTTCCTTTGAAAACTCTCACATAGGTAACAATAAATAATAATAATAAAGGATTATTGGTTGGATATCATAAAACAATCTCTTTGGCCATGAAACCAAAAGTGATTAATGTCTGGAACAATTACTGAATATTTTAATGAATGTTTCTAGAGAAAATTCTTGATTTAAAAGTGAGAAAACAGACCAGGATTTCAAAATTCTGAAGGACTACATCAATTCAAAGTGACAACAACAGCTCGAGAGATGGCACAGGAACTGTAGGAGACAGTGAGTTTATGATAATGGAAAAGGAACAAGTTAGGAAAGTATTATGAGAATGATTGCATAACTCAAATAATGGAATAATGCCATTCTATTATTCCTGTCTTCTATTTACTAGTTGTTTCTTACACTAAACTCATATTGCACTTGAGAATTCCATCCGTTGATTAACCCAGGGTAAAAGGCACAACCTTATAACCACATGTTGGTGGATTATTGGAAGAAGAATATTCCTTAAAAGTACAAATTGCCAACTTTTCTATGCAGCTCTTATTCTAGACTGCTGTCATGCAAATAATATCTAATCATACATTCCTTTTAAGCAGTTCTTTCTCTCATCATGTTTCAATGCAGTGTACATTACTTATCCCTTCTTAGTAACGTGGACTGGGGGAGAAATGTACAACTATGAAAGATTTTTTTTCCAAAGAAAAAAGCGAACTGGGGAGGAGTGGGCAGGGAGGGAAATGTGCAACAATGAGTGAATGGAAATCTAAGTTCTCTATCAACTTTCATTAATAAAATCTCAATTTAAAAAGTATAAATTGTCACCTATCACAACTCTTATCAATCAGATCTTTATCGCACCTCTTTGTAACTTTTTTCCTGCCTACTTCATTTTTTAAAAATTCTTTTAAATTTCAAATCAATGAACAACTAGAAAAGAGTACCAGAAAGAAGACAGAAGCAGTGGTGTTAGTGGTAGTATGTGAGCGATGCCCGGATGCACAGCAGCAAGTGACACTATCCGTGGAGATGTCATTAAAATGATTGTAACAGTTTTGTTCATTTCAGCAGAAATTTATAATCTTGGTTTTTTAAAAAATTCTGTAATTAGTTATAATAATAACAAATGCATTCTCCATAAACTCTTATATGCCGGTATTTCTAAACTACAATACTTTAGAATCACATAATTTTGTCTGCATGTGCTATACCAATGTGCTTGTGCTGTAATTTTTATTCTTGTCATTGTTTTTTACAGTAGCTTATTTAGTCACATTTTGGTATTTCAGTCACTATTCTTCATATAAATCAAAAGGTATGGAGACAAGATACATCCCTGATGCACTTGTTTGGTGATTTTGAACCATGTAGTGTTTTCTTGCTCTGTTCTGATACCTGCTTCCAGGTCCATGTATAGATTTTGCACGAGTACAATCAAGTCTTGTGAGATTCCCATTTGTCTCAATTTTAGCCACAATGTGTTGTGGTCTACACAATCAAATGCCTTAGCAAAGTCTATGAAACACAGACATTGCTCTGCTACTCTCCCTTGTGCCACATTCTCTTCTCAACCCAGCTTGTATTGCTGACAGTTGTCTGTTGATGTGCTGTTCTCATTGGTTTTGGATGATCTTCAGAAGGATTTTACTTGCCAGGGTTATTAGCCTAATTTTTTTATATGAAGTACAATTCTATGTGGAGTCACTATGTGTAAAAATCTTTTGAAGACAATGCTATATATTTTTTCTGTCATACCAAGACATAATATCTTTTTGTCTAACTAGGCTTATTTTCAAATTTTGTTTTTCTGTCTCCTAGAATATTTTTTTTTTCCTTCTGGGTCCCAATTGCTTTAAATAAGAGGCTTACAAACACTACATTATCAGTTTGTTGTACTTGGGAGATATATTGTTCTAAGTAGTACAGCACTTGCCTATCAATTTACTGTGCTGAGATAACTTGTGAGTTGCTGCTATGCTGAAAGCTATGCCAGTGTGTCAAATACCATAAGGGTCACGTACAATAGACAGGTTTTAGTAGATCTCCCTATTAAGACAAACAAGGAAGCAGGATCGGCCAATCCTTTAAAATAGCAGGCCTTGGAAAACCCTATGAATAGTGGAGAAACATGGATAATTACAGCATCAGAGGTAGAGCCCAGATTGAAAGTCAATACACAGTAACTGCTGCAACGGGTCCTAATGTCTTGGGAAGTGTGAGGATGGAACAGGATATGGCAGGATTGAGAGTTTTTCATAGGTCACTCTGGGTGTACTCAACTTGACAGCACTTAACAACAACAAAAGAATCATTGTTATGAACCAGTGGGTTTATTCTATAAAGTGTGTGTGCATACATGTGTTTTCAAGAGATGTTGTTTCTTTGAATTTAAAAAAAAAAGATACGATAGCTAAGCGATTGAAATGTGTTTATTGATTTCTGGATCTTTGCTTTGGGAGATGGTCCCATCAGGTTTTGGTTTTGTTTGTTTCTTTTCAGTGTGTTTTTTGTAATTTATTAGACAAGTCATATTCAAAAGTAATTTCTTATTTAACAGAATCTTCTCTATGTTAAGATTGCTTTAGTGACCCAAACAGTTAAAACACTTAAATGCTATCGTAAAAGTTGTAGGTTCATGTACATTCATGGCTTCCTAGGAAGAAGGTCTAAAGATTCATATGAAAAATAAGTCATTTCTAGCAGATTAAGCACAATTCTTTGTGGAGTCATTATAAATAAAAATCTATTAATCACAACACTATTTATTCCTCTATATAACACTTGGATTAAGAATATCTTTATCAGTAAAAATTACCATTTATTTTGTCAAAGGTCCTAGGATATTCTTAACTTAGAAAAATATATCCTAATGTCTCACATTGAAATTGCTTCATTGGCTTAAATGGCAAAACATAGATGATAACTTATTTGATGTCAGGTCTGTGGTTACTGATTCTCAGAGGTGACTTTTTTCCAGTCCATGTCATAGACATTTTTGGACATAACATGTTTTCAAATGAATTCCAATGAGTTTTTATTTATTTATGATTCCAAAGTCTTAGTATTATTTTGGACAAATTGGATGAATCTCATTATCTCAATTTTAGCAGATTGAGAAAGTATAACAAATTAACCAGAAGTATGGTAGCAAAGCACTTACCTCTATATTCTTTTTCTCCATTTGAGTCTTGATATTATTTTAAATAATTTCATTTACATATTTCATGCTGTTTTGATTTTATATCCAGCATTTCAAGTATTCTTATCTTATTTGTCATTAATTTATTTTTGAGAAAAGTTTAGTTATATCTTGTCTTCCATCTTGCTTAAAATGGAAGTTTAATTTTGCTTGTTCGTTTGCCTGTTTTTAACAATCACTGTCTTTTTTATTTCTACCACAATGTCTACCTTGTCTTTGTCCCTCAAACAAGATTTATTAAGTTAATGATAACATTGAAGCTAGATAAAACATCTGGTATTAGAGATATGTGACTCACCTCTCTGTCTAAAGAGGGGGAAACAGTATATAAGATCACAGGGCTTTGAGTTTCTCTCTAAAAGTCCAGAGGGAGTGAGACTAATTCCACCCTTCATTGCTCCAGAGCAGAAAACAGATAAAGATTCCATAGCCTAGCTCCATAAAACCCTTAGAGCTACACCAGCAACAAAAGGTTAATTTATTTATGATTGACTCACAGACTTACAGTTATAGTACTGAGATTGGAGTTTATTAGCGAAGTAAGTTGGAGGGTGGGAGATGCAAAGAATATCACCCCAAACAAGTTCAAGTTTTAGCCCAAATTCTAAGTAACAATTCCTTAACTAGTCCAGGCTCTGTTTTCAGTTCTGCAGTCAAATAAAAGTCAACCAGCAAGGTTTGTCTCAGAACAGT